CTCCGGCGATCCTTCTGCCTCAGCCTTCCAAGTAGCTGGAACTACAGGCGCAAGCTACCATGCCCGGCTCACTTTTTTTAACTTATTGTAGAGACGAGGTCTCGCCAAGTTGCCCAGACTGGTCTCAAATCCGCGGGATCAGTCAATTCATTTGCCTTAGCCTCCCAAAATGCTGGGATTGCAGGATGAACCACCAAGCCTGACCTATATGCTGTACATATAAATAATGTGGGTACAATACAATATCACTCACAATAATTGACACTATTTTAAAAAATAAAGCATGCAATGGAATATAAAATATACTGAAAAATCAGGACAAGAAAAAGAAGGAGATTAAGATGAAGGCAAGGGTGAAACTGATACTGGAAATCATAAGTACTTACACAAATGCTGGAGTTAAGCCACAAATTTATTGACTGCCTAGAAGGAAATATAATAAATTCAAAACTCAATATTCATAAAATTAAAATCTTCTGGTTGTTTAGAACAAGAACAACTTTCCTAGCACTGGGGATTAAAATATCTTTCATGGGGCCTTGTTAAATGAGATTCTCATATTCAGCAAGATCCCAACAATAAATGCCATAATGAAAATGTTTGTGTGTATACAGATATACAGAGAGTGCCAAGAAATGTATATACATTTTAAGAAAGGAAAAAACTGTATTACTATAGCATTAGAATTGTTTTCAATTTGTTATTATTGAAACTAAAAAGTATTCTTCCCAAATGGATCTATAGTTTCAACACTTCAAATTAAAATCTGAGCAAGCTGTTTTGGAGAAATGTACAAGCTGATTCTAAAATTTATGTAACAAAGCAAAGTATCTAGAACAGCCAAGACAGTTTTGAAAAAGAAGAAAATTGTCAACTGATTTTTGAAGGTTCCCTGAGCCTTCGATTTTCAACAAAGATGTCAAAGCATTTCTATAGAAAAAAACAATAAGTCTTTTCAACAAATGTTAAGAACTGGATATCAGCATGGAGAAAAAAATGAACCTCAATGTTTATTCAGGGTTATATTTAAAAATAATTCCAAATGGATCAAAAACTAAACCACAAAACTTGTAGAAAAATTTTGTGACTTTATGTTAAGCAAAGATTATTTAGACAGCATACACAGACACATACAAGAAAAACAACCAAAAAAAGAAAATTATACTTCATAAAATTTAAATATGTTAGGTCACTTCTGAGAGACTGTTCAGAAAATGAAAGGGCAAACCAATGTCTGAGGAGAAGTATTTGTAAAATAATATTTGACAAAAAACTTGTGTTCAGAATATATAAAAAAACTTTTACAACTCAATAATAAGGCAAACACCTCAATTTTTAAAAATAGGCATTTGTATTTTCAAAGAAGTTGATTGTTTAGAGCATGTACAACTTTCCTATTACCTCAATAAATGGAATTCTCATGTATTTAACAACTTCAGCAAAATTCCAACAATAAATATCATAACAGGAAAATTTTTGTATATTATGTGATCATTATATGAGAATTTATGAATATAAATCAAGTTTCTGTCCTCAGATAAAAGGAATATTTCAACATCATTAGATACTAGAGAAATGCAGTTTTTTTTTTTTTTTTTAGTTGGAGTCTCACTCTGTCACCCAGGCCGGAGTGCAGTGGCTTGCTCACAGTCACCCCAACCTTGACATACTGGGCTCAGGTGATCCTTCTGCCTCAGCCTTTCAAGTAGCTGAAACTACAGGCATTCGCCACCACGCCTGGCTAATTTTTTTATTTATTATAGAGATGAGGTCTCAGCAAGTTGTCCAGGCTCAAACCTGTGGGCTCAGGCAATCCTCTCACCTCGGCCTCCCAAAGTGCTGGGATTATAGGTGTGAGCCACCGCACCCAACTGAGAAACGCAAATTTAAACCACAGTTAAATACCACCAAAACACCCACTACTAATGATTAAACTTAAAAAGACTATGAAGTGTTGGCAAAGAAGAGGAACAATTAGTACTGTTGATTTGGATGACAGGCTGGCAGTTTCTTTAAAAGTTAAACATGGGAGAAGGGATTAAGATGGCTGATGTGAGGCAGCTAGAGTACGTTTCTCCTGTGGAACAAACTAAGCTAGAGAGAGTTTCCTAAGCACCCAGAGAGGAACAGGACCAGAAGCACACACAACTCATCCAAGAGGTGATAACCACATAGTTCAAAGAAGAGAGAAATCAATCCACCTGGGCTGGAGTAACCAGACTCTCCTCTAGATCATAGCACAGACCACCAGCAGTCTTTGGACACAGTGGGGAAGGTGAATGAGGGGAACTCATGAGTTCTATGCTCCTGCTGCAGACTTGGAGGGCTTCCTGAGCCTTGTGGGACTCCAGGCCCTCATGGGAAACTGCTTTCCCCACGGCCGTGCTCTGCTAAAGGCTACACGGAGTGATGCAGAAAAAAGAGAGCCCTGAGCAGCCTCAGCCACCATACCCCATGAACTCAACCCTTGCTGACAACTTCCTTCTAACTGGCCTGGGAGGGGACAGGCCCCAAGGACAGACTCTGTTGTGACACAGTTCCTGGCTGGGGCAGGCCGCCATGAGAACACCTAAGGCCCTAAGGCCAGATGCACTTTGACATCAGAACACAGGCGGCCAGAGGCTAAGGCTGGGAGCCAGTGCACTTGTTGCCATAGCAATCTCTCACTCCCCAGGTGAACTCTTCTGAGCCTGCCCTGTGCAACAGCATTTTCCCAGTGACCAGAGACTCCCTCCTGATCCCCACTGGGGTAGCCAAGAGTGCACATAGGTGGGGTGTTTCAACACTCTTCTTGAAGGATCAAAACAAATGAGAACTTGGGTAATCCCCAGAGTCCCGCCCTTGTCCAGTTTGGCTGAGCACTTCCTTGGAACAACACTCACCAAGGGGAAACCTCACAGCCATCATCACAACTGGCTTTCTCCTTCAAGGAGAAATATTTCATTTTTGCCAAAGAAGAAACTGAATTGGAAGTTAATTGCTTGCAAAAGTAATAAAGGGTAAAACTTCATCTTCCTTGACGTTTTCCCTGATCACTCTAGCCAAAAATGATTTATTTGGATTTCTACAGTTTACTTTCCATATCACTCTTAAGATATTTTCATGTCTTAACTTTTAATGTCATTATATGTAAATAATCTTCCCATTAAATTGGAATGAACAAGACTAACATTTAGTGAGTGCTTTACAAAGTCAGATACTGTTTATTATTGTTTTAGAAAAATTATCAAACCATGTTTTTCCTCTGCTCTCATACCACAACAACAATCAACACAGAAGAAGATTTCTGTGACCAATTGTATGGGGTTTTTTCCCCACACACTAAGCAGTGGACACTGGCTGAGTATCCTTCAATTTCATTATGATACCATATTCCTAAAGATCGTGTTAGATCCCACAGATTGAAGGCTCAGTCCCCAACACTGCCCTCTAAGACACCAGTTGCAAATCTGGGCTTCTGGAACTTCTGATCAAAAATAGCTTTCAACTGGAATTCACACCACCCTCTTTTTGGGTTTGATTAATTTGCTGGAGTGGCTCAGGAAGCTCAGGTAAACATTTACTTACGTTTATGTTTATTATAGAGGATATTACAAAAGATCCAGATGAAGAGATATCTAGGGCAAGGTATGGGGCAAGGTACTCAGCTCTTTTTTTTTTTTTTTTGAGTTGGAGTCTCACTCTGTCACCCAATCTGGAGTGCAGTTGTACGTTCACGGCCACCACAGCCTTGACCTGCTGGGCTCCTGTGATCCTTCTGCCTCAGCCTTCCAAGTAACTGGAACTACAGACCTGCGCCACCACTCCTGGTTAATTTTTTTATTTATTGTAGAGATGAGATCTCACCAAGTTGCCCAGGCTGGTCTTGAACACTTGAGCTCAGGCAGTCCTCTTCCCTCTGCCTCCCATAGTGCTTGGGATTACAGGCATGAGCCACCATGCCCAGCTGCTTTCGTGGCCTCTGGATGCACCACCTTCCAGGA